CCTCGTACATGATCAAGATAACTCTCTGTCACCCAAATACTTGATGCTCGACTGAAGAAATGAGATGAAAAAAGTGTTGGCCATATGATAACAGTCCTGAAAATTGCGCTGATATGCACAAGCATGTCTCCTTCGGATAGGCCGACAATGCGGGAAGTTGTTCTGATTCTTATCGAGTCAAATCAGAGAAAAGCCAGTTTGATATCTACCCTACTTATGACACAGATTCACCCTGATCATCCGATTCTCGTATTGTATGTACTATAATTCTCATTAACCTACCATTTTTACAGGGTACACACAGAAAGCATATGCTGATCCTACACTTGCTTCCATTTCAAACTGTCAAATTTGAATACATTACTCATACACAACTTCCATTCAATTCCACTTGGATCATAAATCATCCAGCAGAAACATCAAGTCTGTAACAAGAAATCCAGAGATTGATCGACAGTAATGGTCGTAAAATAATTTTATTCATTTTATGTAAATCATTTTTATAAAATTAATTATAGTGTATCAAACAATTAGTGAAAATGATTTATACAATAAATAATTTTCAAGTAATTATTTTCTATAAAATAATTTTAGATAATTTATTTTACATAAAACATTATATAATTTTTAAATAATTCATTTTACATAAATTAAGATTTTCATCTTCAACTTCAACACCAGAGAGCTTGTGTTCTGAACAGCTTCCGTTAAAAGAACTGAAAGGAAGACGTTTTTGCTCATCTTCACTCTCTCACACAGGAAGTTCACTTCTTTTTCGCTTTACTTCACTTATTTCTTCATATTCGATCTGGTCTATAATTTCTAGTTATTATTTGTCAGTTCAGTTTATTTTTTGTGGATTTCTAGATTTGGATGTTCTGCTTCTGATTTGGAATTAGTTCTTTAAAAGAATCAATTTTTATTCAGGTAATTTGATTATTGGGTTCGATTCGTAAAAGATTGTTTGATCTCTAGATCTATAGATTTGCAGATTTCTTTGGCAATTTCAGGATCTAAGGTCAGGCTTACTGGAAATTGGAGTTTGTAATTTAATCAACCTTTTGTTGTTGCATGTGCCTTATATTTGTTGCTGCCTGCATGCTCTTTCATCCGTTATAGATCCATATCAGATTGAAGTTTCATTCTAGATCTGAACAGAGTAAAATCAATATATTCTATTTCTTCCCTTTTAAACGGGCTTTTAGCAAAAATAATAACAATAGTATTTTTTAAATTAAAGCCCTATTAAGTAACCAACTAGGCTTCTTAGTACCCTTCATTTTCTCTAGTGTTTTATTTGTGCTTTCTTCTGTCCTCTTTGGTTTCTTTTTTCATAGTCCCTCATAGTTTCGGCTACAGATGATTACTTGAGGTCATGTCGTTCTTTTAGAGCCCATAGGGCGTATAGGGGGCGGGCTCCTCAGAGTGGTGTCAAAGAGACTAGACTTAGAGTTTGTACGTTGAATGTAGGCACATTAAATGATAGGTTGCTGGAGCTGACCGACGTACTATGTAATAGGAAAATAGATTTTGCATGTATTCAAGAGACTAGGTGGAAAGGGGCTCGCACCAGAGAGTGTAATGGGTACAAGTTGTAGTATTTAGGCGTAGATAACGCTAGAAATAGGGTGGGTATCTTGGTATCATCTGGGCTCAAGGAAAATGTAGTTGAAGTTTGTAGATACAGTGATAGGATCATGATGATTAAAGTTATTATAGAAGCGGAAGTGGTGAATGTCCTTTCAGTGTACGCCCCACACGTCGGCCTAGGGGAGGGGGAGAAACGTTGCTTCTGGGATTCGTTAGATGATGTACTTATGAGCATTCCCGAGGACCAAAGAGTTTACATAGAGGGAGACTTCAATGGCCATATAGGTAGTAAAATCGACGGGTATGACGATGTTCATGGGGGTTTCAATTTTGGTAGTAGGAACGAGGAGGGGCGCACGTTGCTTGAATTTGTTACTGCTCACGATATGGTGGTCACTAACTCCATCTTTAATAAGAGAGATATGAACTTGATTACGTTTCAAAGCGGGGGACATTGTACCCAAATCGACTACATCCTGGCTCGAAATCGGGATCGATGGGCTTGTATTGACTGTACGGTGTTCTCTGAAGAGGCATGTGCATCACAACATAGACTGTTAGTTTTGGTGTTCCGCGTACGCCACGAGCGGAGCACTGATAGGAGGGGCTAAACTAGGTAAACCTAGGATCCTGTGGAAGATCTTACATGGAGCGACGGTTGATGACTTTAGGAGTAAGGTTTTGTCTGATATAGGTTTTGGAACTATAAACTCAAATAATGTAGATATTTTATGGAAAATATGGCAAATTCCATCAGAGAGATGGGCAAAAACACCCTTGGGATGTCGACAGGGAAGGTCAAGGAACATAAAGAATCGTGGTGGTGGAACGACGAAGTCCAAACTAAGGTGAAGACAAAGCAAACTTGCTTCAAGGAGTTTTTACAATGCAATGACGACGAAGAAAGATCGAGAGCTAAACAAAGATACAAGGAGGCAAAGCGGGAAGCCAAGAAAACAGTGGCTAAAGCAAAGGCTAAGGCATACGAGGAAATGTACAAGAGATTAGACACCAAAGAAGGACAAAACGACATCTTCAGGCTTGCAAAATCCAGGCAGAATAAAAAAAAGGATCTAGGTAGCATTAGGTTTATTATGGACAACAATGGTATTCTCTTAGTGAAAGATCATGATATTAAGAGGGTTTGGGGTATTTACTTCTTCGGATTATTTAATGATGGTGCCTCTCCCTGTAGAGATAGTATCGTTGATTGGTCAGCAGACCATCATACTAAGGCCAATGACTGCCCTACAAGTAGTATTGGGATTAAGGAATTCAAAATGGCTCTTAGAAAGATGGGAAGGACAAAGCTGTCGGTCTAGATCAAATTTCTATCATTGTGTGGTTGGCCCTAGGAGAAGATGGAGTTAAGTGGTTGACCAACATCTTTAATATTATTTTAGAGACTACCAAGATGCCAGAGGAGTGGAGAGAGACTACGGTGATACCAATCTATAAGAATAAAGGAGATCCCCAACGTTGTGGTAACTACAAAGGTATTAAACTACTCAGTCATACCATGATACTATGGGAAAGGGTGATAGAGGCTAGGTTGAGACAGATTACTAGTGTTTCGGAAAGCTAATTTGGCTTTATGCCAGGAAGGTCTACTACGGAGACGATTCATCTACTTCGACGGCTTATGGAGAAATATAGGAAAAAAATAAATATTTTCACATGGCGTTCATTGACCTTGAGAAAGCGTATGATAACATTCCCCGCGATACGATCTGGAAGACCTTGGAAAAGAGACGGATCCCAAATGCTTATATCCGGGCAATTCGTGATATGTACTGTAGATCCACTATATACGTCAGGACTACAATTGGCGACACCGAGGCATTTCCAGTGGAAATCAGACTCCACCAGGGGTCGACTCTTAGCCCTTACATCTTCACCTTGATTATGGATGACATCTATTGTGCGACACCAGACGGTGTTCCATGGTGTATGCTTTTCGCAGACGACATTGTCCTACTTGCTGAAACAAAAATTGAACTGAATAGTAGACTAACTACCTGGAAGACTGCTCTGGAAGAAAAAGGTCTAAGGATAAATATTGAAAAGATAGAGTATTTATGTTCAAACTTCAGTGGGAACCAAAACGATGAAGATGTAGAAGTATGCATCGAAAGACACGTTCTCCCCTCAAATGATTGTTTCAAGTACCTAGGGTCTATGATATATAAAGATGGGGGTGTAGATGATGACGTTACACACCGTATAAAGGCGGGTTGGCTAAAGTGGAGGGCTGCAACTGGAGTTTTGTGTGACAAGAAGATGCCTCTAAAACTTAAGGGAAAATTTTATAGAATGGCAATAAGACCAGTACTGCTGTATGGATCAGAATGTTGGGCAATCAAGAATGATCACGTAAGAATGATGGAGGCTGCATAAATGAGAATGATTCGATGGGGCATGTGGTAGGACACTGTGGGACATGACACCAAACTCTACAATTAGGATGTCCTTGGGGGTGGTGCGTGTATCCGAAAAATTGAGGGAGGGAAGACTACGGTGGTTTGGGCACGTCCTTAGGTGACAACCGTCGGATGCGGTCAGGAGGGTAGAGTCGATTACAGTCGACGGTGCCAGAAGGAGAGGACGACCAAGGAGGAAGTGGGTAGACTGCGTGAGATCTGATTTAAAGGATTTAGCCCTTAGCGAGGACATGACCTCTGATAGGAAAGCAAGGAGACTTAAGACCAGGGTAGCCAAATAGTGTGGGTCACAACCATAGGGTGTAGCATCTCTGTCTTCTTTTTATGCCTTTGTTATATTTTCCATGAATTATACTATTTATACGTTTCTGTCATTGGAATTTATGAAAGCTTAGACCTAGGGTAGCGGAGTAGGGTTGTCTTAGTTTGGGTTTTAACACATTTGACTTTATTCCTTCTAGTAGCTTGCTATCGCTGACTTCTGTGTTTTATTCTCTTAATGTTTCCTCTATTTAAATTTAACCAGGACTTACGTTTCTGTCTATAAGCAGAGATTTTTACGCAGGAATTAATTGGAAGGAAAACTGCCCTCAACTATGTATTTATTGATTTATCTATACATGTATTCTATTTTATCTTTATTTTTACTTTTCTTACTGTCGGAGGTCTCCCACGTAAGCTGCTCTCAACCTGACATTGGGAGTAACTTACTATTCCACCTCCCCTAACCCCCATTGCATATGAGAATAAGATTTTATTGGTGTTGTTATTTTACATAAATTATTTTTTAAAAAATTAATTGTAGACTTGGCTGTCAGGGAGTTTCCCGTTAATTTATCGTAATTTTTTTTTATAACATTATCCTCAATTTTCTCTTAAAATTACAGCATGCACAGTTCAAAGGGATGTTGGATGTACAACATTACCCTCAATTTTATCTTAATTTTTGTTATTTTAAAACAAAATTTACACTTGGCTTTCATTTCTCAGAGACTCAAACTCTGTTGTTCCTCGAGGATTCCATCAAATGAAACTCAATCTCCTGTTAAACGTAAACCCCGCATCGAATTCTCTACTCCAATTCCTTTCCTTCCCTTCTAACCCAAAATCCCAAGTTTCCTTGTTGAAATCACCCTTTTCTTCAAGATTCTCTTCTTCTTTCGTACCGCGTTCTTCTTCAGCTTCTCGTACCAATTCAACCACGAAGGAATGTAGTTTGGAGTCCAATGGATTGCCCCACACGTCAAAATCTAGTATTGAGGAGGAATCTCACGAGAATTACAATGTGGGAATTGGTAATCCAATTGTTCCCAATTTTATTTCAACCCAGAAGATGATGAGTTCGAGTGATCAAGCCTTCTATCTGCTCGCTTTTGTTTATTGTACGGTATGGTTTTATGGCTTTTCAGGTTACTGGGTTCTTTGGGTAGTTCTTGTTCTTGGCTTCTATGTGGGTGTTTTTTGTTTTTATGGAGTATCCGGGATCTTGATTTTAACTTTCTTTTGAGTTTCCTATATGTATTTTTCATTGCTCTGTTTTGGGTTTTCATTGCTTGGAAAGTGTGGTTACTAGGTTCTTATACTAGATTTGATTTCTGTAAATGGGTCGTTCTTTAAGGTTTTTAGATCATTTGGCGCTTATTTGAGGGTTTTTTAATGGTAGTTCTTGGTTTTGGCATGTTTTGTGTGTGTGCTTCGTATTGCTCAACGGATGTTTTTCAAGTTTGATAAGCATCAATTGTTTGCATGTAGCTTTTACAATATATGTGAAATTGTTGATGTATGATATTGTTGGCAGGACCGAAGCAAGATTATATGTTAGGGGGGCGGACTTCTAAAATTTTAGGAGATAATGAACTTTATAAAATTCTAGGGGCAAAAAATATATTATCAATTGAAAATACAAAGAAAATATCCAAAATATACGATAATTTTAAATTTTTAGGGGACATGCCGCCCCCTTGGTCCATCTCTGATTGTTCGATTGGTAACTTGGTAAGACGTTCTGATCTTAGATTGGTTCTTGAAGGCCACTCATCAAAAAATTTCAAAAAATTGAACATGCCCTTATTGGAACACTCGTTCCCTATACCCAAACCTATGTTATAGTAACATAAGGTACGGAAAATGCTTTTTTTTCCTTGTTTTTTCGTTGCTTGGAGGGTATTTTTTTTCTGGTTATTAAATGTTTGCTTTGTGCAGTTGTTTGTTGTTTTAGTATTGATTGGAAGAGGAATTTGAAGAAACTTCTTATATTAAGGTTATGTGATGTATGAAGTTTGAAATGATATCATACCTTTTTGTGTTTGTTGATTATAGCTTATTATTGTTTTGGTAGGTTCTTGCAGTTGTCTGATGCTTATGGTATTTGAACAAGTTGTCGGATAATTTTGATTTGTGTGGTTTCTTTGGCTTGTAACTGAAATTGAATAGATTCTTTCAATAGGCAGTGGTAGAAATTCAATTGTTGAGCATTGGAAGTATTTCATTTCGAATTCTTTACGACATCTTTTAGCTTTGGCATTAAAGATTAAGTTTGGTATTGTGATTTTCATTTTTATCATTTTCTTCTTCTTTTTCCTCTGATTGATTAATACCAATCACTTGGATACATGCAGGCTTCTGTGGCGTTTACAAGTCTGGTCATTGCAGCTGTTCCAACACTCTTCGTAAGTTTCCCGACATCATATTTGAAACTTTGTAATCGATGTGATACAGTAGGCCATCTATTCACCTCTTCACTTACAAATCGAATTTGCCTTTTTCTTTTCATGTTGTGAACATGATCTGATTTGATAATGGCTGTAATGCATAATGGACAATAATGTTTCATGTAGCATGATTTTGTCATGCCGTTTTAGAGATATGAACCGTCATTATTGACAGGTTAGTTCATGTTTGTTCATCCGGATTTTGGCATATGCCTGTTATACTCGGTTTCAAAAATAGTTGTACATGATCTTTAGAGAGTCAATGTGAACCTTAATCAGAAGAAATGAATGCTTTAGTCGGGATAAATTGAACATAAGTTTTCATCGGATATAATAATTAGGTATAGTTTGCATCTGATAATTGTTACGTATATTTTGATTTTTTGCCTGTGGCAGGCAATGAGAAGAGCTGCAGTTTCGCTTTCCAAGCTTGCAGATACGGCTCGAGAGGAACTTCCCAGCACAATGGCTGCAATTAGGCTTTCGGGCATGGAGATCAGTGATCTTATACTGGAACTAAGTGATTTAAGGTGACAATTAATTTGTATTGTTCATCTTTTTTTGCGTAGATATGCATTTGTTGCTCTGAATCTCTATTTTTTTCTTGAAGTACGGAGCATCCATGTCTGACATCCTTGTCGACATGAGTATACAAATGCGGTCTTCCAAGGATCCTCAAACATATGGAATTTTAGGAAAAAATAAAACTATGTTGGAGACAGCATATTATAGTTGATAGATGTAATGACATATCGAATGAACAATATGACGTCGACTTTTAATCTTTCTGCTTGTTTTCCCATGTCACAAAAGAATAATGCTTTGGTTTGTACTTGACACTTAGCCAAGAGATCACTGATGGCGTCAACAAATCAGCTCAAGCCGTGCAGGCTGCTGAAGCCGGGATTCAGCAGATCGGTTCACTTGCTCAGCAGCAGACCATGTGTAAGTTGAAAACTTGCTCTTGAACTTTCCCATACCCTGCAGTCGGCCTAACATAAAGGCTATTTATTGATTTTCAGCTTTTTTTTTCTTTAATCCCATTTCCTCTTTGTTCAGCAATGATTCAGGAAAGGGCTAGTTTACCAATCATCTCAATACAACCTGTTGTGGCCGGGGCCGCTAGAAAAACTTCTCATGCTGTTGGCCAAGCCACAAAGACGATCATGAATATCATTTATCGTGGAGAATCTGGATTGGAGACTGACGAAGATAGTGGCATTGATCGAGTCGAAATGTAAGGAATCCATTGCTTATCAACATTGATAGACGGCTGGTGGTATGTGTACATAAGAAAAAGAAGTAAGACATCGGACAAAAGCTGTCTAATCTTCCGACGGCATATATCGGAAAACTTAGCTGGATATGTTGCATATAATTGTTGTTGTTATCTGGGATTTACCCTTTTTCCCCAGTCTGATCCATGAAATTGTTTTCTAAAGCATGATTAGGTTGTTGATGCAAATATAGATTACAATATTTTGATGATCAGACAGTTCGATTCAGTAAAAACAAAGCAGTGAATGTCACATCTTCCTCTTAATATCAACATACTCTTCCAGTTCTTAGTAAGTAAATTTTTTCCTCTTTTTGCAAGTGATTCATTTGATCTTCATTTTGTATGTATCATAAATGTCTAAAGATGAAAATAACTTTCCTAATTCCCATCTTTATTTTGTATCATACACTGCTTTTCATTTTACAATATTAACAACTTGATAAACCTCTGCATTCACAATCGAAGTTCTTTTATGTATGTCAAACTGAAACCATTTCCATCGACTGTGGAACCGCTGATGTAACGATTTCTTTCCCCCTTTTCTGCAAAGTTACAACAAATTCATATGGACTAATCCTGCATTAACAGAGATTTTTATATAAGAATGAAGAGATTGAATGTAAAAGTAATCAGACCATTTCAGCCTCGTTGTTTTTCCAAGCTTTCTCTAACTCATCAAAAACAACATCAATAGGTGGTCCGCATGAAGCCTCTACTTGATTTGGCAACACAAAGTACTGCAATATGTAAAATGGCTTCAAAATCTTTCCTGTTGAGATCCCCATGAAGCCTCGGATCTTCAAAATCCGTAAATGGACGTTTTCCCACGCTCACATCCATTGCCTACATCAAATTCATGCCGGTTAGCTTTTTTATATTCCGGTTAAAATGACCGTTAGTATTGCGATCAATATCAAAATACGTACTTTTCGTGTAAGTTATTGGCTGGCATCGAGATCAAACTCAATAACTTTCTGTCCAGATAGAATTTGCAAGGCTACAATACCAAAGCTGTATATATCACTGGCAAAGGTATGCTTTGCATTGGTTTTATATTCTGGATCCATATAACCTACAGTTCGTCTCACATCTGTGAATACTTTGCTTTCCTCCATTCCCAGCATCTTTGCTAGCCCGAAATCCAAGAGTTTGGGTTCCAAATTTTCAGTCAAGAGGATGTTTGTGAGCTACAATACAGGCATTAAGCAATAGGAACAATTATATGAATAATCAGTTAGTTCCTTTTGTAGAATATTACCCGCACTCGAGTGACGGATACAGTTATTTTAAGAAAAGATGAAAGACCGGAAAAAATAGGTCATAGAGATGGATCACTATGTTATGATCAATATTACCTTAATATCTCTATGCACAATGCTCAATGTAACTATGGAGATACCTCAGTCCAAGTACACAGTCTCTTAGGATCTTAACTATGGAGATACCTCAGTCAAAGTACAAAGTCTTTCCCTGAGATTGAAATATAGTCAGGTAAGTTCATGAATTCTCGATCTTAAAAGGTGACGTTCAACAGATTTGAGACTCGAATCCAAGTACTGTAATGCCACAGCCCTTCTTAAAGCTTGAACACTGCAATTTGGGGTGGAAAAATAGCAAATTATTGAAAGAACAAGCAACATGTAATGATTTCACGAAAAAATTACTTAGGAGATGCTGTGCAAGGTTCCCCGCATGACAATACTCCAAGAACAAGTACTGCTCATCGCCCTCGATACAGCAGCCAAGCATAGAAACGAGGTTCGGATGTCGTATCCGGGAAATACCTGCAACTTCCCTAGTGAATGTATTCAAAGAGCTGCCTTTCTTTATCTCCTTAATGGCCACAACTTGTCCACTACGTAACCAGCCTTCGTAAGCTTCACTGGCGCTCCCTCAGCCTAAACTCTTCCTTCTATTGTTAATATTTATAGCTTTCTCAATCTCAGCCTTTGAAAACCTGCAGAGACCAGTCCATGTATTGCTGTCCTTTAATGGCATTGGTTTCGGAAGCTTTCTTTCGTTCATCCTTCTTTAAAACCAAAAATTTTACCAAGACTAGGATCAAAATCAGCACCATGACTGCTACAAAGACCGCAAGAAAAGCATTTTCCAGGGACCCTAAAAATTATTTCAGTGAACATCTTTTCAAGTTTTTCAATGTCAGCTCAAAGCAGGGGTTTAAAGTAAACGCTATTGTACAGTTTCAGCTTTCTCCAGTGACATTCATCATGGATATTCACTGAAACCGCGACCACAATTTAAATCCATGGCTCAAACAGCAGCAAGAGATGGTGATAAGCGATTCAACTTACTTTTGAGTTTGATGTAGCCAGGATCTGTTAGGAAAACGAAGGCTCAAAGTTAGGATTAGTGAAACTTAAACTTATATTACTCAGACTAGGGTGTGAGTGTCAAATACAAGTATGTATCCGAAACATGTATGTTTTGGAGTATTTTCATGTATTTGGAGAGTTGGAGGATTTCTTTCCATACACAGGTCCGAAAATGTCCCAGACACAGATGTAGACATGGAAACTTCAAGAAAAATGAAAAGTCAGGAGTAACATATACCAGACTTGAAGATAGGAAAAAAGGAATTCTAAATAAGTTATGGTCCTTACCGAAAACAGCTAAAGAGGACATACAGCTAAACAAATTTGCACCAAAAGAGCTATCAGTGGTATTTGCAGAGGAAACCGAAAGAAAGCGGCAAGATTACATAATGTTGTTTCAGTACTATTAGTCTGCTTTTGTAGTAGTTGCAATAGAAACTCAGCCACCTTTGCTATGGCATCAGTGCAGTTTCTGCAGGACCTTTGAAATGAAGAACTCAAGTTAGAACATAACTTTACTGCTTCCAAGTAAAGTGGACTTCCTTGAATTTGTGACAGAGATAAATTTGTACACATGGAACTTCCCGAATAAAAATTGCTGAATCCACAAGTTTCTATGGAAACCAATTGTTGTGTTGGAAATGGAGAACTGCATTGTTTCCATGAATCTTGTCCAATGAAGATGGTACCGTCTGGTGTTTGATTAGCTCGAACTGCGAGAACTTGAGCGAAGGCATTCAGGGCGTTTCGACAGCAAAGGTGTGAAGATATCATGTCCCACAAGATGACTTTCCCATTGTGACCACTGGAGTCACCACTTGGTAGGTAAGGGTATGAAGTGAAATTCAAGGGACAGTCTGCAAACCATAGGAAAATCTGTTAAACCACAGCCACAGACACATTTTCAATTGCGTTCGCGTCTATCATAGTCAATTACGATTAATATAGGCAGTTGAAAAGGCCAAAACCATAAATAATAAATGTGGCATCACCTCCCAATACATGGTGTTTTCAGTTCTAATGCTCCAAAATATTCTTGGCAAAATCTTTGTTATTATCCTCAATCAAAACTGTTTAATCACAAAAGAGGAATAGAAAAAGGTTTCTTAAATGTCCAATTCAAAGCCTAAAAGTTTTCTAGACACAAATTCAACAGAGTATTATGCAGTGACGCCCAAGAGTATTAAGAAACAAAAGGCTCAAGCAGGCCTGACTTTTTATCAAAAACCAACATGATCTAGATTGTAAGTCAGTTAATTCATATATCCAAGCTCAAGAGGTGACATAGTAAACTTGGGTTAGTTCAAGTATCTACAACTGCAGGGTTATGGGATGTTTGTTATCCCCTGAGGTCTCGGGTTCAAGCAAGACATTTGTAGGGGGATGTTTGAGCATTTGTTGTCAAATGGTTGAGAGTGTCTCGAACATATACTACCTTGTAATCATCAAACGTTTATTATCACTCCTCATGTCCGAAACAAGAGCGAAAGACTTACTCCAGAAGGCAGAAGAGCAGTCTTAAATCCAGAATCAGAACAAAAGGAAAACATTTTCATTCAAACAAAAACACAAACATATGGAACGACATGAAATAGTAAATAGAAATAAACCTGCAACTGAAGGAGAAATAAAGGCAATGAAAATGAAGCAGTTTATGCAACAGGCGGTGGCAAGTTTCAGCCATGTATGAAGTGTTCTCATCTCCTTTTTTTCCTCCATGATAGACCCTTTAAAGCTTTACACCATAGAGAGATGAAATTCAAATATTTACAACATGCGAAAGAGCCAACAAGAAGCTGAAAATTTTCCATTGGATAACATCGGGTTCTTCATTTATAGAGGCATGGTGTTCCTAGTGATTATCATTAAAAAAGCTGTATGATAGCTGGATTCTTACAGCTAATTTTACAAACCTTGAATTTTTCACCAATCAAGCATTTTATCAGTATCTATACCTTGCAATTCTTAACACACCTAGAATCCCTAGAAATTTTCCTTGCAACTAACTCCCGTTTATATATATATATATATATCCGTTGGTACAAGAAAAACATAATGGATATGGTTTTGTTAACCGATGCCGAGGTCAATGTCGGATTCAAAATCACGTCTAATGAAAGGATGTTGTATCCAAATAAAATGTATGATAAATACGGATACTGAGTACTTCTATTGATATAATTGTTGAAGTATTGAGTCTGATATTGGATATTAGATATATTTTGTATGACAACTGTAATGTTGTTTATTGGTTGTTTTTTGAGTTTGTTTAAAGTAAAGTGGGGCTTTTACATTTAACAGCTGTAATTTTCTTCTCGGACATGTTTTACTTTGTAATCATATTTAAAATGGATGTTTTAGAATGGATGAGAATGCAATATGATGTATCTCTATCTTTGTTCTTTGCTGTTAGTGAGTGATTAAAAAAACTTTGAGATTTTGAGATTTTGAGTGCTTTAAAAATGGCTTCTTTGAGTTCTCCCTTAACTCATTCCAGTTTACACAAGAACTCATTATCATGTTTGGACGATGAAGATGAAAGTCTATTTAAGGTCTCTTGGGTTGTGGAGAGTTGTAAAAACTGATGAAGATCCACCAGAATTGACACCAAATCCCACTCTTGCTCAACTCAGAGCTCATGATGAAGAAATGCTGAAGAAGGATAGAGCTCTAACGTGTATTCACTCCAGGTTGAAAGATCATATTTTTATCAGTATTATGGATCTTGAAACACCTAAGAGTGTTTGGAACAAACTTAAAGAAACTAATGAAGGAGGTGATAGAGTAAACAAAAGCAAAGCTCTTGACTCTGAAAAAAGTTTTCTATGCTGTGTTTGGAACAAACTTAAAGAAACTAATGAAGGAGGTGATAGAGTAAACAAAAGCAAAGCTCTTGACTCTGAAAAAAGTT